ATAGAGATATTAGTATGCGGTAACCCGAAAGTTGTTCGGAGTCCTGGATGAGATCCCGGACGTCACGAGGAGTTCCGGAATGGTCCAGAGGTAAAGAATTATATATAGGAAGTGCTATTTCGGCCATCGGGACAAGTTTCGGGGTCACCGGTATTGTACCGGGACCACCGGAAGGGTCCCGGGGGTCCACCGGGTGGGGCCACCTGTCCCGGGGGCCACATGGGCTGTAGGGGGTGCGCCTTGGCCTACCTGGGACAAGGGCACCAGCACCTAGAGGCCCATGCGCCAAAGGGACAAGAGGAGGGGAGAGTCCTAAAGGGGGAAGGCACCTCCGAGGTGCCTTGGGGAGGATGGACTCCTCCCCCCCTTGGCCGCACCCTTCCTTGAAGGAAGGGGCAAGGCTGCACCCTCCCCCTCTCCCTTGGCCCTATATATAGTGGGGGGAAGGGAGGGCAACCATACCTAAGCCCTGGCGCCTCCCTCTCCCTCCCATGACACATCTCCCTCCTCCCGCAGCGCTTGGCGAAGCCCTGTTGGAATCCCGCTACTTCCACCACCATGCCGTCGTGCTGCTGGATCTCCATCAACCTCTCTTTCCCCCTTGCTGGATCAAGAAGGAGGAGACGTCGCTGCTCCGTACGTGTGTTGAACGCGGAGGTGCCGTCCGTTCGGCGCTAGGATCATCGGTGATTTGGATCACGACGAGTACGACTCCATCAACCCCGTTCTCTTGAACGCTTCCGCGCGCGATCTACAAGGGTATGTAGATCCACTCCTCCCTCGTTGCTAGATGACTCCATAGATAGATCTTGGTGACACGTAGGAAAATTTTGAATTTATGCTACGTTCCCCAACAGCCCCCTACTACGACGCCGCCCTTCTAGCGACGCTGCAGTAGCCGCCACCCTACTCCGGTGGTGGCGGCGATTGGATTATGGACTCCGGTGCCACCGCTCATATGTCCGCTCATCCGGGTAACCTCTCCTCCGTCCATCCCACTTCCACTCCCTCCCATATCATCATCGGCAACGGTGTTGGTCTTCCCATCTCTCATGTCGGTTCTGCACCTTTTCCCTCTAACTCTAGACCTTTCTCTCTTAATAATGTCATTGTTTCTCCTCATCTCATTCAGAACTTAGTTTCCGTTCGTAATCTTTCTCGTGATAATTCCGTAACTGTGGAATTTGACGAAGTTGGATTTTCTGTTAAGGACGCTCGCACCAGGATGATTCTTCACCGCTGTGACAGTCCCGGTGACCTCTACCCAGTTCAGTTGCCGTCATCTCCGGGTGGTCCTCGAACTTTCTCTGCCGGCGTCGATCTTTGGCATGCTCGTCTCAGGCATCCTAGAACTTCTTCACTTCGTCCAATAATGAGAGGATTTTCCTTTTCATGTAATAAAACGGCCGCTCACTCCTGTGAAGCCTGCCGGTTAGGCAAACATGTTCGCCTTCCTTTTAGTTCCTCCTCCACAGTTGCTTCCTTTCCGTTTGAGTTAATTCACAGCGATGTATGGACATCTCCAGTACCTAGTAATTCCGGTTATCTTTATTATCTTGTCATACTGGATGATTACTCTCACTTTGTGTGGACATTTCCTCTTCGTAGGAAATCCGATGCTGCCGCCACTCTCATTGCATTCTATGCTTATGTATCCACACAGTTCGGGCGACCGATACTCGAACTTCAGACCGACAACGGGAAAGAATTTGACAATCTCACCATCCGCCATCTTCTTTCCTCCCACGGCACCGTGTTTCGTCTCACGTGTCCATACACCTCTCAGCAGAATGGCCGTGCCGAGCGCATCCTACGCACCCTCAATGAGTGTGTGCATACCCTTCTTTTACATGCCTACATGCCCTCTCGGTTTTGGCCAGATGCCCTCGCCACCGCCACCCTCCTTCTTAAGCTCCGGCCATGCCGTCCGCGCTGGAACTATGCGCCTCACCATCTCTTATATGGCACTCCCCCCTCTTACGATGGTCTCCATATCTTCGGTTGTCGTTGCTACCCCAACACCACCGCCACCACTCCTCATAAACTCGCTCCTCGTTCCATTCCGTGTGTCTTCCTTGGTTACCCAGCCAACACTAAGGGTTATCGCTGCTATGACCCCGTTTCTCACCGTGTCATCACCTCACGACACGTGTACTTTGATGAGCTTGTGTTTCCCTTTGCACAGGAACATGTGGCACCGTCTTCCCCTCTCGCGGCGGGCTCTCCTCCGCGCCGCCGCCCGCTGCCGGCCTTGGGTGCTCCGGCACCCCCGCCCGTGGCGCCCTCCTCCGGATCGGGGCCATCCGCGGCTCCCTCTTCTGGCTCGACGCCCTCGTCGCCTGGCGCTGCGTCGATGTCGCCCCGGCCCCCCGCCATGCATGCTGGACCGCATGATGGGCCGCCGGCTGGGCCGGCCTCTTCTGGTGTGGCCTCCCCTGGCGGGGTCTCTCCTAGCGTGGCTTCGACCCCGCCTCTGTCGCCCGCACCAACCCCGCCTCTGTCGCCCGCCCCGACCCCGCCCCGGTCGCCTGCTGACGTGGTCGCCGCCTCGTTGTCGCCTGGCTCTCCCGATGCCGCGGCCTCGACCTCAGCTCGATCCGCCTCTCTCGTGGACGTCGTGGATGCCTCGGCCTCGCCGCCACCCGCGGCTGCTCCGACGGCCAGGCCCGTCACCCGCTCGCGCACTGGTGTCTTCCGCCCAAGCTCCCGCTATGCGGATGACTACGTCTGCACCGCCTCTACGTCTGCTCCTTCCCCGCTGCCATCCTCGATTCGGGCCGCTCTCCGCGACCCCCTTTGGATGGCTGCCATGCAGGAGGAGTTCGACGCCTTGCAGCGGAACCGGACTTGGCAGCTTGTTCCCCGTCCCCGGCACACTAACGTGATCACCGGGAAGTGGGTCTTCAAACACAAGCTTCGTCCCGACGGCACTCTTGATCGTTACAAGGCGCGTTGGGTTGTTCGTGGTTTCCGGCAACGCGCCGGTGTGGACTTCACCGACACCTTCGCTCCGGTTGTTAAGCCCGGGATGATCCACACTGTTTTACAGTTGACAGTCTCTCGTGCCTGGCCGGTTCATCAGATGGACGTCTCCAACGCATTCCTCCATGGTCATCTTGAGGAGCAGGTTTTCTGTCAGCAGCCCACAGGGTTTGTTGACCCGGCATGTCCTGATCATGTGTGTCTGCTCTCACGCTCCTTATATGGACTCAAGCAGGCTCCTCGTGCCTGGTACCAACGCATCACAGCGTTTCTTAATCAACTCGGCTTCCGCTCTACACGCTCTGATGCTTCGCTGTTCGTTTATCACCAGGGCACCAACACGGCGTACTTGCTGCTCTATGTTGACGACATCATCTTGACAGTATGCACTCCTGAGCTCCTTCGTCGGCTCACTGATCGTCTCCGTGCTGAGTTTGCCATGAAGGACTTGGGTCCGTTGCACTACTTCCTCGGCGTTGAGGTGGTGCGTCGTCCTGATGGTTTTTTCCTTCATCAACGGAAGTACGCTCATGAGCTCCTCGACCATGCTGGAATGCTTAACTGCAAACCGGCTGCCACTCCTGTCGACACGAAGGCCAAGCTCTCTGCTACTGATGGTACTCCCGCTCCGGATGCTGGCTTCTACCGGTCCATTGTTGGTGCTCTCCAGTACCTCACTCTCACTCGACCGGAGCTTCAGTACGCGGTTCAGCAGGTCTGCCTGCATATGCATGCTCCTCGAGACGTTCACTGGACCGCTGTTAAGCGGATTCTTCGCTACATCCGTGGTGCTATGGATCTTGGTCTTACTCTGCGCGCCTCCACTGCCACTGATCTGGTCGCCTACTCCGATGCCGATTGGGCTGGCTGCCCGGACACCCGTTGTTCTACTTCGGGCTACTGCATCTTTCTTGGACCATCCCTGGTGTCGTGGTCGTCCAAGCGGCAGCCTACCGTCTCGCGGTCTAGCGCCGAGGCCGAGTACCGCGTTGTGGCTAACGTCGTTGCTGAGTGCTCCTGGCTTCGTCAGCTTCTTCACGAGCTCTCGTGTCCTGTTGAGAAGGCCACAGTCGTCTACTGCGACAACGTCTCCGCCGTCTACCTCTCCGCCAACCCGGTTCATCACCGTCGCACCAAGCACATTGAGCTTGATATCCATTTTGTTCGGGATCAGGTGGCTCTTGGCCACGTTCGTGTTCTGCACGTTCCCACCTCCCAACAATTTACCGACATCATGACCAAAGGCTTGCCTACGACG